CCCCGCCCCGTCAGCCGTCAGTCTCAGGTCCAGCTCCCACTGCTTTTCCAAGTGGCTGCACTGAGAATGAACCACCAGTAGGTGTCCTCACACATCCTCACAGATAGAAACACAGTTTATGCGGTTTTTGCCAATCTAGTGGGAGAGCTGAGGTTTCCTCAATTACAATGAGGTTGGGCCCCTTGTTGCCATCTTGACTTACTTCTCTGAACATGGTGCCTCTTCAGGTGTCTTGCCCATTTTTCTAATAGATATGAAGCTATTCTGGGTTTATTCTTTGCCAGAGCCCTCGCCGCCAGCTCCTGACCCAATGTTGCCCTGACTGCTACCGTCTTAGCAACAAAGAACAAGTTCTAGCAAGGTAACTGGGTTATGAGGAAGGTTTCTGCAGACTTCCGAGAAAAGATACCTGCTCTTTTCATCTCTGTCAACCACATGACAAAAACTGCAGAATGAGCGAGAATGGAATCACTCCCATAACGAAAGAGAGGGGGCAGATATTCCTGGGACTCTCTGAAGCAAAACATGCATGCACACACATATACACATAGAAGCACACAAATGCATGCAATAAATGTACACACTGCACATGTGTACACAAGTATGGGGAAAATAGAATGAAAAGGTCATGGGATTTCCCCATGAAGCTTCTGAAGTCCTGAGTATATGCACATGTATGCACAACCACATACATAAAGCACATGTGTTTGCACATATGCACACAAGAACACACACATGCATGCACACCGACCATACAAGTGTTTGCATGTGCACACACGTGCACATAAGCATGGTCACACACATGCATGGCCACCTGCAGAGCTTTTCCTTATAAGGCGCAGATTCCTGGAAACACTTACACATACACCAATCTCAGGGTGAGACTATCCCAGAAACTGCTCCTGAGGCACAGTGCAGGCCACAGATCAGCCACCGCTCCCCACCCAGGCAGGCACTGTGTACCCCTGGGACTCTGGGACCAAGACAATGTGCAGATCCTGCTTTTCCCTAATAAGAAGTAGGTGTTAACCTTCGATGCCTGAACTTCCTTGGCACTGGTGTTTGGCCAGTGAAGTCATGTCTGACCTCACTGGACCTGAAGATGAGGGCATGAGGCACTGAGGTCTGGGCTCATCTGCAAGCAGGAGGTGTCCCTGTGTGCAGTGCCCTCCGTAAGCGGCAGGATACTGATGAGGACTCAGGGTGTGCAGCTGAGGCTGAAGACTCATCTCCTGAGGCATCAGGTGGGGGAGGAAAGACCTGTGAGCCGTGCTCACTTGGCAGGTCTTTTTCTCTCACACACATATACTCCTGTGAGAGAGAGAGGGTCAGGCACCAGGTGGGAGCAACGACAATCAACTGGTCCCCATAGGCAGAGGACGTCCACTCTGCCCGGTATGTGCCATATCCAGGACCTCAGATGACCTGATTTTGGGGAGAAGATTGCCAGGCCTTTACTCCTAGTTCATCTTAGTCAGGAAGTGCCACTGAAATCTGTTCACCATCGGAATAGCATGCTTCCCTGCACAGGCTAAGAGTGGACCCCACGTGACTTCCGATATGGATTAGGGTTTCATTTCTCTCAAAACGGGAAAATGCAGAACAATGCAACTATGACACACTCCACCACAGACGGCACCAGTGACTCGGCCCCCAGACAGTGTGACCACTACACACACCACCACAGACGGTACCAGTGACTCGGCCCCCAGACAGTGTGACCACTACACACACCACCACAGATGGTACCAGTGACTTGGCCCCCAGACAGTGTGACCACTACACACACCACCACAGACAGTCCCAGCCCGTCCTCTCCCAGTGTGACCATGAGATACACCATTACAGACTGTAGCAGGCCCTCAGCTCCCAGTGTGACCATGAGATACACCATTACAGACTGTAGCAGGCCCTCGGCTTCCAGAGTGACCATGAGATACACCATTACAGACTGTAGCAGGCCCTCTGCTCCGAGGCATCTGCCCTGAACACCTAGCACAAGGTCACGCACACAGACCTGGGCAGGGGTCTTCATAGCAACTTTATGCTCAGGAAGCCCATATGAGAAAGATCTTGCTGTCCATTGCAGGTGACAGGTAAACAGTGTGGCCCATCCAGCAGTGGAGTGCAACTGAGACATGGACATGAGTCTGGGCAGTGATGTCCAGACACAAACAAAGGAGTGCGGTAGGCACTCGCCTTCGTAGGGGTGCTAGTTACACAGACATGTACCCATCAGCATCATCGCAGGCCATGCGAGCCTGCTCTGGAGCGTCACCTGGAGGCTATCCACAGAACTGCACAGCTGAGCGGTGCGTGAAAGAAACCCGCTGGGGGCAGCAGGCAGCCCTGATACTGCTCACAGCAGAGAACTTGGCTAGATCCAGTTAGCTTGGCTTAGCCGCAGCTTCCTGCAGACAGCTCTGGCCCCCAGAGAGCTGGCAGGGTATCCCCGAAAATCTCATGAGCTGGCACTGCAGGCACCTGTCCTGGGCAGTCCACAGAGGAATGGGCTTATGTGGGAACGCAGGAGGCTTTGGAGCAGGAATGGAGAGCCAAGCAGGGTGCTGAGGTGGGCCCCGGGGCACGAAGCTATCACAACACACCCCAGATACAGCCTGTCCACTACTCAGAGCAGGGCCCTCTACTCTTGGGACCCCACACAACACAGACCCACTGTAAGCACGAGGTGATTGCAGTTAAGAAGGGGTCCACCATTTCCAAGGGACCCAGACCTGATAGCAACTGAGGCCCAAGATGAAGTGATCTGTCTGTGGGTCATCACCACACATATGACTCTGGGCCCTCTATCTGGAATTCTCAGGAGGACAGCCTCACCCCTGCCCACATGAGCTGCGGGTATGGGAGCACCTCATCTGAGAACAACACAAAGTCCTCAAGGACTTTCCAACGGACGGGTGAGCTCCACATTAGGGACCCCTTGATGGGCAGAAACAATGT